AATGCATTTTGTAGAGCAAACAGTTTTCTACAAAACGAGATGTTTCACAGTTCTGAGAGAATCGTGATAACTGATGTATAGCAATTCTCCCGGATGCCCCGACACCAGTTAAAAACTGGTGCATGCCTATACAGAATACACTGTAAAAAATTTGAGTTTCCCATAATCTAAAGAGCTCGAAATGAGTTCTCTATTTTAGAAATAAATATTTTCATCCTATTTCAAGAATCTTGCTCTATTAGGCCATACCGATTTGGTTTGTCATTAATTCAAAAAACTTGCCTCTACTTGACATTGTATTATGAACGTTTGAAGTTCTACATCTCAATATTAGAAAATGTATTTTTGACATAGAGTTTTAGGCAAATTCAAACGGCATCATTTCTTTCAGAGAGACAGGTCGAAAAATATGAGTAACGATGCGCGAGAAATGACTGAGGATAGTGTTGTGTTTATTGTAAGAGTGAAACGACGGTAGATTTTGTATCACTCCGTTTTGGATCTCGACGAGTGCAACAACATGATTTGATCTTGATGAGTGAGCTTGACAACAGTCTCGACATGTGTTTAGATCTATATAATAGTATGCTATAGATGGATACACCAGAATAGTAATAAGTACTTGAGACGTTTTTATTTATTATTATTCTTCATAATAAATACAATGATTAATAACAGACTAAAACCATCAAGAAATAACACATGTATTATCATCTTAGCCTCGTGCACTTTCTGTAAATAAAAAAGAATCTTCTTTCATTTAAAACTGAAAAATGCATAAAAATTAGTTTATAGATTAACTCGGTTAACATTATATGGGTTTATGATGCGAAAGTATTTGTATCTGATTATCTTCAATTACCACCCGATTGAGTATTATTAGTTCCACCTTCTTGTGGACCAGCGACGGTTTCATTGTTATTAGAGCTTTGACGACTGGCATCAATGTTAGCCTTTAATTCATTGGGTAAAACGGATGAATTTGAAGTACTTTCTGTAGGTCTATTTTCATCAGCTGTAGGAGGAATGCCATTTATGTTCATAATGGATTCAACTAGTTTTTCTAAATAATCTAAACGTACTTGTGTATCCTTTACTTGAATCTCAATACGATGCATCCGTTGATCCAGTGCTGGTTGTTGTTGCACTATCCCCGCTTGTTGGCTGAATGCTCTTTTTTGTTGCCGATCTGCTGATTGTTTACCATCAGCGCCATGGACATTTTGATTTTGTGCGACTAATATGCTACATAGAATTATGTGGATAAAAAATGTCACTAACTTCATTTTGTTGTTTTTTGATAAATTAAGTTCTAAAAACAGTAAAATTTGAGATGGCGACTAAAAGAACAACGTCAGATCAAAATAGTCAAATTATCGAAGGATTAATTTTTTCTTAATATATCCGTAACTTTTAGTAGTTTGCAGCATGTAGTTAAGTTCACTCAATCCTGTTCGACACACAGAGATTCGTACCCTAATCCATACGGAGATAAAAATATTCATAATTGGAGTCCATCATAGCTTAGTGAATAAGTGCACGACACGAGACGCTGCAGACCTCCGGTTTGAAGCCTGACCGCTTGATTATTATTCGATTTTTTTTCTGGATTTCAGATGTGTAACTAACATAGAACAACTTACAGGGCAAAGTCTGGCAATTTCCAGATCACAAAAAAAATTTCTAAGTAAGAATTTCATGAGAAACAGATAAGAATTACATAAGAGATCTTACCACTTTCTTACAAATTTCTTAACAGAATCTTATAAGAATCTTTTGAAATTTTGTCGCTTTCAGGAATAATCTTGTTTAAGAATCTGATAAGAGCCCAGTAAGATTCTTATATGGATCTCATCAGATGATTGTAAGCACCCATTAAGATTCTTGGCTGCTTCTTATATAAGAATCGACGACTAGAGTAGATCTTTATGTATGCCGTTTATCAAATATTATTGTTCCATTGTAAATAGATCGTTTTAATATTTTCGTGAAGTTTCTCAAAACTAATTTCAGATTGTGAGACTATAGACCATTTTTATTTTAGCTAGTGATGAAGATATTAGCATATCAAACCGTCTAGTTAATGAATTTAATCAAATAAAAAGAAAAAAGTCCAAAAATTAAATATATTTTATCATTTTTTAATATTAATTAATTACTTTTTCTTCGTACTATTTCTTTATTTATTTCAAACGTTTCGATATTTTAGTTTTATTATTGATTGTCAAGTCGAATTACAAAAAGGGTTTCGATAGTTTTTAAATAGTTTTAATAGTTTTTGAAAAAGAAAAAAGTTGCCTGTTCAATTCGTTTTGTTTTGTTAATATAATTTTAATCAATTTAATTAATGTTTGTTATCCACTGAAGAAGACTGAAGTATCAATCGAAACGTTTGGAATAAATAAAGAAATAGTACGAAGAAAAAGTAATTAATTAATATTAAAAAATTGCATCTAACTTCGTAATCATATTGAATTTCAAAAAATTTTATCATTTCACCGAAATAAATTGATGCAATCATGAAAAAACAGCAAAAACCATCCGTGGTTGAAGTTCTATACTCCGAGGTCCTCGTATACCATATCTTTGTTTTAGGAAATGTAACAATACTAGTTGGGTATTTCCATTCAGTTCTCCTGCTTTGTATGCGAGTTCAAGCCGGCTACATTTGACTATACCAGTCTTGTAGAGTACATCGAGTTATCTATATTTTCATCTTTTTTTCGAAAATAGATGGTTTTTCGAGAACTATTGCTCCAACGGTTATTCTTTTTACATTAGGAACCCAGAAAGCTCGATTTTCCGCTTTACTATAGGTTTTAAATTATTTTCGAATTGGCTATTCGACAGAGCATAAAAATTTGTAGTTATCGTAACATTTCAAGGTTATAACTTATAAAGCCAGTCTTTCATTGCTTTTGGTTATTGAGTTTTAGACTCCAGAAGATGGTCCGGTTTCCAAATGCTTCCAACTTGAAAGTCGATCCTCTCAAAAACTGATCGTCAGAATTTTCTCGAAACTTATTTCTGAAATATACTGACTTAGTACTACAAAAGTCAGCATATTTCATTCGTACTGATAAGAGGGACCCCGTTGGCAACTAGGACCAGAATGGCCTACCTGCTTACATTTTTTCGTAAGCTTAAAATTCAATTTTTTTCCATTATTTTTGACGAACTGTAGGTAAATTTCGATGGTGAAGATTTTTATCAGAGGATGGATACTTATATTTGTACTTGTACTTTTTTTACTTTTCAAGTACAATGTACAAATACTTGTACTTGCAATTGAAGTACATTTCAAGTACTTTCGGTACTTTTTGTCCATTAATAGTTTTTTATATTTTCAAATAGTTTTGAAGTATTTTCTGATGCACAGACTATTATTCTCGATGTAGAAAGGACTCACTAACACTATTTACTTTCGACAAATAGTAGCATCAAACATTCGTTTTGTGCAGAGAGCGGTAATAGTAAAAAGACTAATGCATGATTTCTAATGCTTGATGCTTGGAGTTGGTCTACGCCAAAAAGTACTTCAGAACTATTTGAAAATATGAAAAAGTATTAGTGGACAAAAAGTACTTGAAATGTACTTCAATTACAAGTACAAGTACAAGTACATTTTTTAAGTACAAGTACTAAGCTAAATTACAAGTATTTGTACTTGTATTTATTCCCCCTCTGATTTTTATGATATTAGTTTTCTGAAAAAGAAATTTGGACTAAGCTTTCGCAAATTCGCTAAGGAAAACTCGCTTTCTATGGAAAGCAGCTTGAAAAATACAACAGAATTAAAAACTACTATTTTAACGAATTGCTAATGAGAAAGGGGAAGGAGCACATACATATATTACTATTATGAATGTTTTCACGCTTCTGTGCCCGGAAATAGAAAAGTACCCGGAGATTCTTTGATTTTTGTCCGGCTTCGATTAAGAAAGAACAATCTATTTTTAACTATCCATCTACCATCTTTAATGTCTTCCTTCTTCCTTGTTCTCCTGGCTCTAATCGGCATTAATCAATAAATTAATCCTAAATTAAATAATCTAAGAAAATTTTGGGGAAACATTTTAAACTAGCAATAAACACAACTCGATAAAACCTCATTGACTACGATCGCCTCTGCACAAAGCTTCATTCTAAGTTCTCAGACACAGCAAAATGTTCATATGTGTCAAAAATTGTATATTTATTCTATTTTCCTACTGATCATTGAAGGCCATTAAAGATGGTCACAAAACTGTTTAGTTCCTAGCACAAAACAATGTTCGTCCATGGTAGATGGATGATTAAAAAAAAAGATTGTTCTTTCTTAATTAAAGCCGGGCACAAATCAAAGAAATTCCAGGCACAAAAGTGTGAAAACATTAAAATATGCCCGATTCGGGCACAAAAAATAATTTGTTTGTCTTTCATTCGACACATTACTTTTTTCTCTTTCTTTTATGCGCACGTTCTTTGCAAGCCGAATAAATTATATATGTGTATCTTGCCGTATGTGTAATATAAGATACGACTTTACACTGCACAATACTAATAGTTATCATGACGTCTTCAATGTTAAAACGTTACAAATTTCATTATATGCTGAACTAGTTTAAAGAGTGTTTACTCTGTAAGTTTTTTAACTTAAATGTTGCACAGCAACAAGAAAACAAACAACCGAAACATTTCTTGTGGGGTTAGATAGACTGGTTTTGACAAAAACAACATCTCTATTGAAATTCTAGCATCCTTCAGAATACATATATATAGAAAGCGCTCGTGCAAATACAGGTGTCCAAACATGAAATTTATTTCGCGAGTCAGATCGCCTTATACGGCGCACATCTTTAACTTACTTCTCATACTGTCAGTTTCTCTACTGAGGCTCATTCTCACCATACAAACGGAATAAATTCTGTACTTGGCCATCTATGCGTGCAAAGCACTAGGCTTCGTGCATATCAGCCTAATAAAAAGTTTTAAAAGCTTGCTCTCTGAAAATCGGACTGCAGAATCAGGTTCGATAGATGATTATGATAAGCTGTTGCTACAATATACTATTGAAGAACTTTTCTCGGAAGTTTCTGAGGAGAACTAACGGCTAAACGACATCACGAAATATTTTAGCAATACCTCAATTAGGTTATATTACCAGCGATACAACCACAAAATACAATTCAAGCAATTCTCTCGCAGAATATTTATCATAATGTTTTATAAAAACACTTTTCAAGAATATCAATTAGGCAGTTTAGAAGAGTCTAAAATAAAAATGAAAAATTGAAATAGCCACTCAATTCTATCAATATTAAATGGCTGCAACTGTCGCAACTTTACACATGACATGAATTGCATTCTGAAGTACACACTCATTGCTATTTCATGTGGTGTTCAACGAAATCAACATACTATAAAGAGAAATGTTTTATTTCTGGAAAATATGCGATTTTTCATATGAAATTATGATAGTTTTATATTTTCTGATTCTTTGGAATTGTTCGCTAACTCCGGTTTAAAAACATCAGCATTATGTCGGTAAATAGCCGCGTAGTTTGTCTGTAAAAATGAGAATTCCTAAAAATAATCTTTCAGATAATTTATTCGCTATAGTATTCGGTACTTACGTATGAAATGACCAGAGTCCAACAGCGTTTGATATGGTTTAATAACTTTACTGTATACGAGTGTTATGTTTCATCAAAAAAGTTTTTAATCTCTATTGATATAAGACACCGTTTGTTAATAGAAACCGTGTTTGAAAATCTCTATATTTCTACTTGGTATAAATAAATAAGAATATGCGAGGAAAATTTTGCTATTCTGTTCTTTAAATGAAACAGTGGAAATTAAAAACATTTGTTGTTAATTTCGCACCTTTTTTATTTTGTTTCTTCTTTTAGTCAAGTAGTCTTTCCCTTTGAAGTACGTTTATAATAGAATATTCTAAAATATTTAAAACTTACCAACAACACAAGGTTCGATGTATTCGTCGTAGTAGCATATTTCGACTTTCATAAGTTTAGCTTCTTTTCATCAGATCGTCGAACGTTTCATTCTGACAGATCTTCTTTTATCTATTTCCAGGATATATGCAATTAATATGTGAAAGCTCTGTTCACCACAGTAGTCTACTAAACTCAGTTTCGAAAACATCCCAATTTGTAGAAAGGTGAGTGTACCTAGACTAAGAGATGGGTCTCTTTTGTACTCAGGATATCCAGTGAGAAGCAAACATCGCGAATATTCGATTGTAACTGCTTTTTATTGATTTCAGCCCTTCCAGTTTATCTTGGAG